CCCCCCCCCAAAAAAAAAAAATAATAATAAAAAACTGCCCGGACGCCTTCCATCGCTTGCCTCCATTTCCCGAATTCTCTTTTCAAATCAGGTACGGGAACGGTGTGTACACGAGTGGGACATTTTCAAGCAGAGAATGGCAATGGCTGAGCAGAAGCAGCTAGCACTTGGAAACATCAGTTCAGCACCACCATTGCTGCACCAATCATTACTTAGGCGTGACACTTTCGGGACCTTCCGTCGTAGGTTGAGTCTGAAAAAACAAAATCCATTTCTGAGAGGTTGACGCTGGCTGACAAGATAAAGAAGGCGTGCGGAGACTGGAAAGCTGATGTAGCTGAGGCCAGGTAATCTGCAGGTAAATACTCTGCCTGCGTTCCTAATGCATCGTGAAGACAATAGCTCGAGTGTGGGAGGGGCAGAGAGGCAGGTAATCTGGAGGTGATTGCTCTGCATACGTTTGGCGAAAGGAACATCAAGTGGCCAAGTTTGACATCATATGCCTAGCCAAGCCAGCAGTGCGACTATCCTGCGTGGTGGCATAGATCTTCCCAGGAGACGACCTATGATTAGACTCGTTAAGAGTTACGGCAGCTGTGAAGGAAGAGTGCGTTCAGGAGCAACATCGACCGACTGCATCATCGTATACTTGGGTTTCATCTCTCCATAAGGAAGAGAGAAGAGAGCCACTGTAGAAGAAGGTTTTTCTGTGCCGGCCCGCCCTCCTAGGCTTTGCAGAAACACGACACGTATGTGTCCCTTCCGATGGATCGCTCCTCCGGAATACCAGCAGCGCCTGACAAATGGTGTATTCTTTTGGCTCAGAAAGGGTAGGAGGGTGGGTAGAGGGGTGCCGCCAGGAAGTGGGTGCATACATCGACGAAGGGGGGGGTGTTCGTGAACGGATAATTGTGCAGGACAGGGTGGGAGGGTGGGTAGAGGGCCTGTGTTGGTGTGTGGCCCTCGACTCCAAGTGTCTGTAAACATTTGTAAACACAACCGCTGTTCAGGGGTTAACATCCAGTTCGTCCGGCATGCCGACACCGGACAAATATTAAATTCTGTTGGCTTTAAAGGTGTAGGTTAATGCGGTCGACGGGACGTTGTCGAGCACCAGGCAAGCATGATTGGTATCCTTTTGGCTTGCGAAGTGCAGGTTAATGCGACCGCCGTGACGTTGTCGGAGGCACCAATCAAACATTGCATTCTTTTGGCTGGAGAAGCGTAGGTTAATGTGGCCGCCGGGACGCTGCCGAGCACCAGAGATAAACATTACATTCTTTTGGCTTGACAAGTGTAGGTTAATGCGGCTGCCGGGACGTGGGTGCATCGTTGACGAAGCAGATGTGTTTGCCATTTGAATAAGCATACAGGACAAGGGACAGGGAGCGAGGTTGGGTACTAGAGGCCCTAGAGGGGCAGCAAGTGGAAAGGTACTGATCTGCGTTGATGCGTGGTCCTTGGCTGCAACGGATCTAACGACTCCCTCTTTGAAAACACAACTTCTTTTCAAGAGTGTAGAGTTGACGTCAACAATTCTGAAACCACCGCTACCTTTCTCATATATGGGCCCGGGGGCTTCAAGATTCAAATTCGGAGGCCGGGCGCCGCTGATGAAAATTGTCGATAGCCGCGGCCGGTGGCGATTTTTTTCAGATGAGGCTCAACTTGCGATTTAGGGTCACAGTGAGAAAGCCAGCGGTCCTTTGACGGCGCGAACTGCGACTTTTGCGGATAGCAACACCAGAGGAAAACATTTCCAAACCAACAGATGGCAGAGGAACTTTCAAGAATAATAATAATTCGTAATTTGACTACAAGAGACACGGAAACTTCGGAGTTAATTCCACGACAACTAAAACTTCGGAGTTAATTCCACGACAACTAATTCTCAGATTGCAGATGGGTCTTTTTCTTTTGAAAGAAAGGGAGGGAAGTTCGGAGACTAAACACGATGAAGAAATGTGTGACATGGTCAGCGAAAGGAGAGGCTCAAGGCGTACGAAGAGTAGGGACTTTTTTTTCGACCGAGTTCTGGACGTGATTGAGCGTTATTATTTTTCATTTCTTAGGGGAAAGGGTCATCTGGTGGTAGATGTGGATGTCAATTCTGAGGATGGAATCCCCCCATTGATTTCAAGAAGGGCATGTGGCCCTGATGTGACTCAATTCATTTTATCACGTGCTGAAGACGAAATCCTAGCCTTGGAGGAAGGAGTCTTCTCTTCGGTGTTTTGAGAGAGAGAGAGAGAGAGAGAGAGAGATTATCATATCTTGCCGCTTGCGAGAGCGCTTCCATTTCTTGCTGAACAGTCAGTTCATATTGTTCAGACATGAATTTGAACACCGGGAGATGTGCACAAGCGATTGCATGCGACTTCCACACTTCAGCAGCTCAGCCATGTGTGTGCGTGCCATGGCCTTCGGCGGCTTGACTAGGCCTGAAGGCCAAATCAAAGAATGAGGACGCATCCGCACACACCAGGATGGAGACATTGGTATCGGCGTATCGCGTTTCGTGATCATTTTTTAGTCGTCAATAATAAAGTCTTAGATGACAAGTCTTGGATCCCACTTAGTGTCATGGGTCTCATCACCAAGGATAGGGACATTTACCATGGGTTTCAGTTTTAGGCCAACCTTGGACCTTCACCAGTCTGCCAGGTTGGACTTGATCAATTTGTCGTCTAGCAACTATAGGAGATACATGCACATGCACATGCACATGCACATGCACATGCAGCTGCAATGCATACAGATTCATGATTTTTTTGTTTGAACGGGTGTGCACGTGTTAGTGTGCATGTGCGAGTGCATGTGTTTGAGTGCCTGTGCGTGTGTGTGTCTGACGGTACGTGTGCGTGTTTGTCTGTGGGTTTGCACATGCATGCGTGTGAGTGCATGGGTTTGTGTCTGTGGGTGTGCATGAGTCTGGGGGGGTGCATGTATGCTTGTATTTGTATGCACACGTGTGTGAATGTGTGCATGTGTGCGTGCATGTTTGTGTGTGTACATGCGTGTCTGTCTATTTGTATGCACACGTGTGTGCGGGTGTGCACGTGTTAGTGCATATCTGTGCATGTGTGCATGTGTGCATGCGTGCGTGCATATTTGTGTGTGCGTCTGTCGGTATGTGTGGATGTTTGTCTGTGGCGTATGCTTGTGAGTGCATGCGTTTGTGTCTGTGGGTGTCCGTGTGTGTGAATATGTGTATCTATTTGGGTGTGGGTGGGTGTACACGTATGTCCGTGTGTCTATGTGCTTGTATGTGTGTGAGGATATGCGTGCGTGTTTGAGTGTCTGCACCGCTGCAGGTGCGCGTGTGTGTGTGTGTGTGTGTGTGTGTGTGTGTGTGTGTGTGTGTGTGTGAGAGAGAGAGAGAGAGAGAGAGAGAGAGAGTTCTTCAGTTCATAGAGACTGTTCACAGGTCGCTTTCCGAAATTGTATGCACCCTGACTCTAGGCAACAAGAGTTTGTTTGTTTTAAATTTGACGATAAGAAAGGAGGATGTCAATCATGGTGATTACTTTGTCACATAGGTGACATAGCCCCTCCGACGAAATTTGAATCCCTTCTATTCATTGCACATTCAATATAGCCACAACGGAGTTTAGTGCCCTCATTTCTCCATTCATTGTATTTTCACAGTTTTCACTTTCGCACAACATCGGGTTAGGTTTTCCAAACTTTGTTTGAAGTTTGATGACTTTTTCTATATAAATAAAAACATTGTATAATGTCTTTGTCAGTTAATCTGCAGACCTACTGGTCGGCCCGACAGCCCGATTGTCCGCTGGAGTTCATTAACTACCGCTGGAGGTTTCAGTGGTCGTCAGATAATATTTGTTTCCTTCCTTCATGTCTTCAGATCAGATTTGATCGATCAGTTGGAATTTGAGGTCTGTTTCGGTTTGTATAATGTGGAGAATAATGGGGAGATGGACGTCCAATGTAGAGGGCTTGAGGCTGGCTATATGGAAATCCACAGTGAAACCTTGGAATTTGAGGCTGGGGGAAACTCTATTATTTCTTCAAACCTGCAAATGGGAATATTGAGATGAAGCAGACAAGCGGAGACAACAGTGTTATTAATACTTATTATGTCTGCGGGCGAAGGCGTGTAGGCAGCCAGAACATCTGAGAATCGAGTGCAACTGAGTGGCGCTTACAGATATCCAGCTGTTATAGGTTTTGGTGAACAGAACACAAATTCTAACGCCGTGCAGATGGGGATGTAGTATGGGGATGTAGTACTGATATACCAATAATGGCAGGGGGTACAGCATTTTAACTTTTAAAAAGTCTAAACCAGGAAAAGAAACGTTGGGCGGCTCGTCATGTGGAGGTACCAACTCTGTCGCTTATCGATAGCCGGAGCAATGGTGGGCCCCCTTGAGTAGTCAAGAGGGAGGGCTTTCAATAATCTCGGTGATTTTATAAATTTCAGTAATTTGAACTAATTTCACTAAATTTGATGCACTACTTAAATATATAAATTTCTTATTTAGGAAACTTCTATGACACTGGGTGCAGGTTCCCCCTGCAGGACAAGTTCCAATGTTTTATCTCTGGTTATGTGTTTCCACGACAAGAAGATATATTCCCATCTGAGTATCGATTTTGGGTAAAATAAGGAAGAGGAGGGGGGGGGGGGACCACATTGGCAGATCATCCGTAGATGGCACTGAGGGTAGATGATGGCTACAATTCTTTTTCAAGGATCTTTTTTCCGAGAACACAAAAAAATTGTATATGCTAATGATAGCCTAATAAAAGTACCGAGTATTATATGCCTAGATGAAATAAGCAATAAACTGTGAGTTCATCCGAAGCAGAGTAGAGCTCTTACTAGATTACTAGTATGGTATGAAACGCGGTGAGACTTTTTTTTTTTTTTTTTTTTTTTTCCGGTGAGACCTTTTCAATTTGGTTAAGGGCAGGTAACTAAATCGGGAGGCCACTTTGAAAAGGCGGTGGGTACGCAAGAGCCTAGCACAGTGGGTACACCATTGGACTGTTGAAGTACGGACCCGTGTACAAACCTAGATGATGGAACGAGTAAACCCAAATATTTCTGAATTGCCTGGGGCCGGTCAGCTCAATGATGATATCTCAAGACCGYCACCTCCTTTTAAAAAAAAAAAAAAAAAAAAAAAAAAAAAGGCGGTGGGTGCACTTTCAGCCTCATCAGGTTTGATAAGCTGCACTGAGCACTCGTTAAAGCTCATGTGAAGTGGCGGTTTACACATGAGAGAGGGAAGAGAGTGGAGTGGTGGTTTAGGCACGAAAAAGGGAAGAGAGTGTAGGAGATATTTTTTTGATGATGGGAAAGCAGGGAAAAGGGAGGAGAGTGGAGAGGGCGTTTTTTTCAGCGCATCGATGGACAAGGCACTTGGCGTAACCTGAGCTGACAATGCTCCTGGCATTCGAAATTAGTGTGAAACAGTCGTACATTTGATATCGTCCCTACGCTTGATCTCTTCCCTCTTTCGTGCAAATCCAACTAGTACTAGGCTACTAGCATACCCCTTTCTTTTCCTACACCTGTCTGTCCACCACTATCATCATACTGCCTGTCTGAAGAAAAGTTAGGGAATGTCGATCGTCCAAAGCTCTCCTCACACCAGCTGCCTCCCCCCTCTTCAAGCTGAGATCGTACAATCGAACCTCTTTCTCTTTTTTTTTTTTTTTGCAAGAAAGTCCTTTTTCCAAGCCCACTTTTCTTTGGCTTTTTTTTTTTTTTTTTTTTTTTGCAAGAAAGCCCTTATTCCAAGCCCACTATCCTGGTGGCTTTTTTTTTTTTTTTTTTTTTTGCAAAAAAGCCCTTATTCCAAGCCCACTATCCTGGTGGCTTTTTTTTTTTTTTTTTTTTTTTGCAAGAAAGCCCTTATTCCAAGCCCACTATCCTGGTGGCGGGAAGAGAGCCACCAGGATTGCGGGCTTGCTTGTTGGGCTCCTCCCTCCACGGCACCTTTTGGAAACTGGGTCCAAAGTCCCTTCAATAACATAGTTGGCATACAGTGTCAGGGGCCATGGTCGTTATAATTCCTGCTCCTCTGGAGCTGCTCAATCCCTTGGGGCTGCACAATTTACCCTTCCCATTCTAGCAGCCCACATTTATTACGAAACAGCTGCTACATTATCGGATTCTAAATTAAGCGCCATTCCTACAGTGTTATCTTCAAATTCCAGCAATTCTCCTGCCATTACTTTATCCAAGCCATAAATTCGTGCAATTCCGTCACCAACTTGAGGAACTGTGCCAATATTAATAATTTTTACTTTTTGGTCATATTCTTTGATTTTTTTACCGATGATGCTCTGTTCCCTGAAGGATCAATAAACTAACATCTCTATAACCCGATAATAACCCGATTATCCCCTTCCCTTCACTCTTACTTCCCCTCAGGAACCTACAGCCCACCCCAAGTTAGCAATTTGACAGTAGTTGAATAGCTCGACTTGTGTAGCTTTTCACAGACAGTGGGGTAGGACCCGGTAGGTCGGTTGCCTTCCGTGCGCACATTCCCTTGCACAATTTACCCTTGGCCATTTGGCTGGAAACAGAACACAAGTGTAGAGTATGTATCTGGTGTGATGTATTTGATATGTGATCGATGATATTAAGAAAAGGAACCAAAAAAAAAAGGTTGAGCTGACAACCAAAGGCTGTAGGCTGGGTTCTAATATTGGCAAGGGTAGGTAAAGTCATGGCTCAAAAAAGGGAAAAAAAAGTTCACAAAACTTAAAAAAGGCCAGAGGCTCACTAGCTAGAGAAAGGCTCTTTCTTTCAAAAGTAGTGCGCTTGCAGCAAACGTCCATTCGTTTGATCATTAGCCTATAATAAGGCACATTTATTTGCTAATGGTACACCTCTTGGTAAGTAAACAAGATAATACGCTGCCGGCCAAATCCAACCATCCCAGCTCTTATCTAGACTGAACCCTTAGCTAATGGGAATCGAAAATTGACGATGGCCCGGTGGGATTGAATTGAATTCATTGATTGCTCTAGCTTACTGAAACCTCACGGAGCATAAGTTTTCTTTCCTTCTTTGCTCGATTATGTAACCAATCGCTTAGCAGTAAAAAGGTGACAACAATTTCTCAGTAGCAAACATAATTACCGAACCAGCACGGATAGCAGTGGATAAAACATTAAGAGGTAAGCTCAAAATCGCCCAAACAAACAAAAAACAAAAAAAACACGAGGTAATTTCATGGTTGGCAAAAGTCTTCCTCCTTTCCACTCTGACAGGCTGTCAGCTAATATTCTGCCTGTCAAAAAAAAAAAGGTAAGTTCAGTGCTGGCGCTTGTAGAAAAGGAATGGTGTAAGTCTTTAAGAATATCATGTGAGCTTTGAAGAAGTTAGTGTTTCTGCATCTCCGCAATGTCGAAAGGCGCTTGACTGTTCCAGAATTATGGATAAAGAAATATGCATTTGTCATGATATTGCTCAGCCGATGACAAAAGCCTCACCTCTCTCTCTCTCTCTCTCTCTCTCTCTCTCTCTCTCTCTCTCTCTCTCTCTCTCTCACACACACACACACACACACACACACACTCTTACACACCGCGGCATCAAGGTTCAAACTTCCTATGAATGGGTGCAAGTCGGGCCGAACAGCCTGGTGTAGTTACACCAACCACATTCAGAAATTGGACTGCGTAGGTGTGTAAAGTGGGTTTCGTGGCTGTGACAGACTCGTTTCTCGGATTATCTGCCATTTTGTAAGGGGCATGGACCGCCAGTTCGGTGAGAGTCCGCTAGCACTGCAGGGTTGGTGCAAGTAAAGACTACCACTTTTGGTGATAAGGTAACCTGCTGATGAGTCTGTGCAAGTTCCAACAAATACTAGCACAGTGAGGTTGTTGTTCTCTGATTTTGTGATGTTGTATTAAAAAAGATGTCGTTGCACTCACCATTTTCATCAATGACAATTAATCAAAGAGTCAATTACTCCCGCATCGTACAATGAGACACATACCCCTTATACATCAGTCAGACCAGAATACCATATACATGATATACAGTATGTTCTTCACACTCCACTGTTCTTCACGGCGCTGAACCAGTTTCTGTATGTCCATTGTCCATACCTCATGGTGGCAAAGTACACAGCAGCAGGATGATGACCTGCGATGAAACCATCGCATGGACATCTTCCGTGATAGAGTAAAAACAAAATACTAGTGAAAAATAGATAGAGAATGTGTGTGAATGGCATACTCCCCTTTCTTTCCCTCCCCCCGTCTAAAGACTCTAAACCACCATCGTATAGCCTGTCTTTTCTACAACCGTCTGTTCACGCAATGGATTCCTGAAGAGCCTGTCCATTCAGACAGGCAAAAAATAAAATAGAAAATAGACTGGAATGCCCCTTTCTTTTCCTACACCTGTCTGTCCACAACCACCATCATGTAGTCTGTCTAAAGAAAAGATACACCTGTCTGTCCACAACCACCATCATGTAGTCTGTCTGAAGAAAAGATAGGGAATGTCGCTCGTCCGAACCTCTCCTTCCCATCTGGCCCCCCTCTTCAAATCATTGAAGACAAAATTGAAAATTGGCAGTTACAATTTTTTTGGTGTGGATCTCCTTCTCGTTGTATCGTGGTCGTAAACGGAGTGTGAGCCAAAAAATACGGTGACTTGACTTCAGAACCTCACATGATATACATGTATATAGTATTACTATTATACCCTTTCCACGTCGTCGACTCCCTTATTAAATGAGTAGAGACTTCCTTCCTTCAGATGGGTAGAGACTCCCTTAAGTTCTCTCCTCTGCCATTTATCCTCCTCTGCCTGACGACTCCCTGGCTTCGCTCTATCCTCTGCCGATTATGCAATGAACGCAGTGAGCTGGAAGTCTGGATTTCCGGAACGTCGCGTAATTAGCATGACCAGGTGCGTTATTGCGTCGCACTTTCCTCAGCCCATTTATCTGAATGCCGAACTTGGTTGTTTCAGGAATTGTGTTTCATGCGCTGTCGACTCGTGTCGAGTGTCTGCCAAGGATGACGTTCCGATGTGATGCGGAAACCTGCCGCAGCGCTCAATAACCCACTTTTGTGGTTTTTTGTCCTTTCACACATCCTCTCATCCCTTGTAGTTCTCTCTCCTCTACCCGCCATCGGGGGATGCCGAACCTGCCGCTAAGCGCTTGTCGCTCGTTTAGCTCTTTTAGCTCTGCCATTTATCCGAATGACGAACCTGGTTCTTTCAGGAATTCAGTTTCGTCCGCTGTCGCTTCTCGGCCAAGGATGACGTTTCGATGCGGAAACCTGCCGAAGCGCTCAATAACCACTTTATGTTTTTCTGCAAATGCCAGAAAGCCTTGGCAGTTGGACTTCAAATCAGCAGGACACTCTTCCACCATCTTCTTCGCATATTCGACAGCAAGATTTTGATTCTTGATATCTGCACCCACAATTGTTTGGTCGTACATCGTACATACGCATCAAATGTCGCCTACACCGATTGACTGCAGTTCAAACCAAACCCCAATCTCATGAAAGAGCTATTCTTCCTCTATTTTCTGCACACAGATTTTACACATTTTAGACAGTGTGTGTGTTTGCTTTACCTCTCCCACCCACCCACCGTTCAGTCCTTTGCCTCCCCCCTACAGTTTTCGCTTGCAGTCTTTTTTGAAGTTTTTTCGGTCCGTAAACCAACCATCTTGTACAGTTGTAAAGCACCATAACCAGGATATTCAGTCCCCTTTCCTTTCCCTCACATATCTCCTTTCACCGAGTCCTTTTCCCACGTGTTTTTTTGGACTGGAAAGTTGTGGATACTATCATGGAAAAACCATGGAAAAAAACTAGGCTACCAGCCGGGCCGCCCGGGTCACCCTATTTTCCCGGGGCCAGGTCCCACCAGCACCGTTGAGTTTCCTCAATGCCTGAATCTGGTCGTGTCTGTGGATATGTGCAGAAATCGCGTTGAGTTTTTCTCAACCGCACATCTCCACGAACGCGTCCAGATTCGGGCGTTGAGGAAACTCAACGCTGCTAGTGGGACCTGGCCCCCGGACGGCCCGGCCGTGCAAGGTCCAGGTAAGGTCCTAGCAAAAAAGAAACATAACAAAAAAAAAAATCCGAAAAAAAACTATGTTACGCAGAAAAATAAACTGAACAACTTTTGCCTCAGGGTGTTTGGGATCCTCAGAGACTTTACGCGAGAATTCTCTGAATCCCAAGTTGGGGGATAGAGGGATGCCGGGTCTGTGGTCACAGACCCCTGCCGTGCGGGTGGCAGGGCGGATCTCAGGGTTGGGTGAATTCCAAGGGTGGTGGGCTTTGACTTTGTAGGCTTGCTTTTGATGCCTTTTTAGGTAATTAGTGTTTTCGCACGATGGGGATTTTGTCATTTCGTTCATTTGTACTGTAGCCTTGGAACGGATCGTAACCACTTCTACGATGTGAGGGACGCCGGACCCGTTTTCCGGCTTTATAATCTGAAAGCGGCTGTCGTATGAACCAGGCCGGAGTGCCTGGATCATACGACACTCGGGCCGCCCTTTGAAACAAAAAAAAAATTAAAAAAAAAAARAAAGAAAGAAAGAAAGAAAGAAAGGGGAAATTATTTACCAAATTTAACATAAAATTTTAAATGAAAATATATACATACATCCACGTGGGCGCCCTTGTACGCAAGAGGTTCTGAACAGGGGGAGTTGTAAGGAAGAAGATTAAAAACGAATTTAAGGTTTTTTTGTTTTCCTTGGTTTTT